GGAGGTGGTATGGAGTCTCCGTGTGATGGTCTGATGGGTCCTTTACATTACTGGGTATACAGACAAGTACCTGTACTACAAGTCACATCATTCCATTGCCCACGAAGTTGGAGGTGGTATGAAGTCTCCGTGTGATGGTGTGATGGGTCCTTTACTGGGTATACAGACAAGTACCTGTACTACAAGTCACATCATTCCATTGCCCACGAAGTTGGAGGTGGTATGGAGTCTCCGTGTGATGGTCTGATGGGTCCTTTACATTACTGGGTATACAGACAAATACCTGTACTACAAGTCACATCATTCCATCGCCCACGAAGTTGGAGGTGGTATGAAGTCTCCGTGTGATGGTCTGATGGGTCCTTTACTGGGTATACAGACAAGTACCTGTACTACAAGTCACATCATTCCATTGCCCACGAAGTTGGAGGTGGTATGGAGTCTCCGTGTGATGGTCTGATGGGTCCTTTACTGGGTATACAGACAAGTACCTGTACTACAAGTCACATCATTCCATTGCCCACGAAGTTGGAGGTGGTATGGAGTCTCCGTGTGATGGTCTGATGGGTCCTTTACTGGGTATACAGACAAGTACCTGTACTACAAGTCACATCATTCCATTGCCCACGAAGTTGGAGGTGGTATGGAGTCTCCGTGTGATGGTCTGATGGGTCCTTTACTGGGTATACAGACAAGTACCTGTACTACAAGTCACATCATTCCATTGCCCACGAAGTTGGAGGTGGTATGGAGTCTCCGTGTGATGGTCTGATGGGTCCTTTACTGGGTATACAGACAAGTACCTGTACTACAAGTCACATCATTCCATTGCCCACGAAGTTGGAGGTGGTATGGAGTCTCCGTGTGATGGTCTGATGGGTCCTTTACATTACTGGGTATACAGACAAGTACCTGTACTACAAGTCACATCACCCCATTGCCCACGAAGTTGGAGGTGGTATGGAGGCTCAGTTGGAGAAGGTATGGAGTCTCAGTTGGAGGAGGTATGGAGTCTCAGTTGGAGGAGGTATGGAGGCTCAGTTGGAGGTGGTATGGAGTCTCAGTTGGAGGAGGTATGGAGGCTCAGTTGGAGGTGGTATGGAGTCTCAGTTGGAGGAGGTATGGAGTGTCAGTTGGAGGTGGTTTGGAGTCTCCGTGTGATGGTCTGATGGGTCCTTTACATTACTGGGTATACAGACAAGTACCTGTACTACAAGTCACATCATCCCATTGCCCACGAAGTTAGTGGAGGTATAGAGGCTCAGTTGGATGTGGTATGGAGTCTCAGTTGGAGGTGATATGGAGTCTCAGTTGGAGGTGGTTTGGAGTCTCCGTGTGATGGTCTGATGGGTCCTTTACATTACTGGGTATACATACAAGTACCTGTACTACAAATCACATCATCTCATGGCCCACAAAGTTAGAGGTGGTATGGAGGCCCAGTTGGAGAAGGTATGGAGTCTCGGTTGGAGGAGTTATGGAGTCTCAGTTGGAGGAGGTATGGAGGCTCAGTTGGAAGTGGTATGGAGTCTCAGTTGGAGGAGGTATGGAGGCTCAGTTGGAGGTGGTATGGAGTCTCAGTTGGAGGAGGTATGGAGTGTCAGTTGGAGGTGGTTTGGAGTCTCCGTGTGATGGTCTGATGGGTCCTTTACATTACTGGGTATACAGACAAGTACCTGTACTACAAGTCACATCATCTCATGGCCCACAAAGTTAGAGGTGGTATGGAGGCTCAGTTGGAGAAGGTATGGAGTCTCAGTTGGAGGAGTTATGGAGTCTCTGTTGGAGGAGGTATGGAGGCTCAGTTGGAGGTGGTATGGAGTCTCAGTTGGAGGAGGTATGGAGGCTCAGTTGGAGGTGGTATGGAGTCTCAGTTGGAGGAGGTATGGAGTGTCAGTTGGAGGTGGTTTGGAGTCTCCGTGTGATGGTCTGATGGGTCCTTTACATTACTGGGTATACAGACAAGTACCTGTACTACAAGTCACATCATCCCATTGCCCACGAAGTTAGAGGAGGTATAGAGGCTCAGTTGGAGGTGGTATGGAGTCTCAGTTGGAGGTGGTATGGAGGCTCAGTTGGAGGTGGTATGGAGTCTCAGTTGGAGGTGGTATGGAGGCTCAGTTGGAGGTGGTATGGAGTCTCCTGGACAGATACAGTAATATCGTCACTGAGACGGTAGTACGCGAAAAATGAGCAGCTTCTTATTAAACTGGTTCTCACAGTATATGGTTATCCCGTATGGTCGGTAAGAAAGGTAGAGGAAGATTTGGAAATAGAGAGCACGGGAAATCAAGAGACAGAAAAGAGGGGAGAACTGAACAGCGCGGTCATTATACATTAAATGGGAGTCGGAGACCATTTCGAGAGTTTTATTTAACATCACATCAACACACTTACGCGACCACATAACACCGTCAAATACAGATAGTGCATCCTAAGCGCAAAGTGACAAAAGACAAAACTGGTGGTTTACCCGATTTCGTCCAGCTTCTGTAATCACTGTTATATCACTGAAAGTAGATATATCATAACAACTGTTACAAGGGAAACAAAGAATACACAAAGGACACGATAGATAAGAAAAAACTCAATCAGTCATCACAGACCATGAAAATGTAACCCTGGTAAAATACTAGCCGCAACATACCACTCGGCTAGGGAGAACTTCTCTTTAGCTCGAATGGTTGAGCATTAGACTAGTAAGCCAGGGGTACCGGGTTCGATTCCTAGCTTAGGCATTGAGATGAAAAATGACCTCTGTTACATTTGCGCCCATGTAGGGACCCGGGATTAGTACTTAGCCATGCCCAACCAGCATCGCTGTGACCCCTGAAAACTCGAGGACGAGTAATTTCCTGGAGGGGGAGTATGTAACCCTGGTAAAATACTAGCCGCAACATACCACTCGGCTAGGGAGAACTTCTCTTTAGCTCGATTGGTTGAGCGTCAGACTAGTAAGCCAGGGGTCCCGGGTGCGATTCCTAGCGGAGACATTGAGATGAAAAACACCTATATGTCAACCAAATCACGCTCCACACTCAAATTCAGTCAAACTGGAGCAAGATATGAACAAAAGACAATTACCACAGAGAGTCCAGAAAGTATGTGAGGAGAATAAAACGAGGTGTTCAGGGTGAGTAAGCGTCTGCTGTTTCGCCGACGACACCCGCCATGTAAATCATGGTCATTTCAAGCAATTAACGTCACGTTCTGAAATGAGAAGAACACAGAAAGCAACAACGGAACTAAAAGTGTAAACTATCGAGCATCAAACATGTCCTACTTAATATCGCATTAGGAAATAGAATATTTCTCAATGAGATCATCGTGACGACAAGACTTAATCGTCATTTTTATCAATTTGCATCTCTCGATTTCCTGTGTTGTAAGTTTTTCTCAGTTGCCGACATCTTGCACAAGCCTGTAAACACCTTAGGTAGCGGATGCAGGTATGTTGCTCTCCAGAAAAAGAAAATTAAAAAAAAACACAAACGTCCATTTTAACATGCAAAAATTGTTTGTTTGCTTATTTTTTCTCCCTGTAAACAGCCCCTGACTGGGACCGGGCGCTGACTGGGACCGTTACGATAGACAACTCGTGCGCTGATACCAGTATGTACCTGATACCGGTATGTACGTGATACAATCACATGTAACGTAATATACTGTATGATATTTCAACGTAAGAGTATAAAAAGAGTTTTATTCTTTGACGATCTGAAATTTATCAAAAATAAAATCGAAAGCTTTCTCTTTCTTCTGTTGTATATCTTATAATTAATAAACACGCCCTCTACGAAGACGGTCACAGTCTCCTCAAGCCAAGATCATGAAATTTAACGTCTGATATTTTCCGGTAGTTTCATCGTATTTAAACAGAAAACGACTCCATCGAGTCTTTGATCAACCGAAATCAATTATGAGACAGAAATCAAGTAAGTTGTTTTTTTTTAATTTTATATTCTAATAAACACCGGCATCACCAAAAACGTTTATTTCAAGATGAAACTAACCTGTTCACCTCCATCTTCAAGAAATAATAGGATGCGAGGTTACATGAGTTTATTTTCCTATCAAAAAAGATCTCCGTTACACTTATTTTTCACAGATAAATATACAAGACGTCAGCTGTCCAAGTAATTTTTAGTTTAAACTTCATTTAATTTACATCAACTGCAAAACAAGTTTTTTCCAACTTAAATGAAGTGTGAGAATGTAGAAGGAAAACTGAGACCGATGTAAACCCACGCGCACGTGGTCGAGTCGCCAACTGCAGTACAGAAATATAAGCCGCATTTTGGCGAGGATGAAAAAAGACGAATGGTGTCTTTCTGTCTCGAGCCAAAATGCGGATTATATTCTAAGACACTGGTCATGTATTCTATCATTCTGCAACATTAATCGAAAATCAGACGATCAAAACTTCAACAGTTTCGTTGTTCAATACAGAGACGTATATATACGTGATATACGTCTCAGTTCAATATTCGTTTACCTGACTTTGACGTCATGCTTAATTTTGCTTGATGACGTTACGCCAAAATAACTGTTCCGCGTGGAGATATAGTTTCACACGTCAACGGATATGGCAGCGATTTTATGAATTTTCGTAAAAAGTTTTGTTTATTAAACTCATAAAATCGCTTAACTCAATAGATATTTATATCTATTTTGTAACTGATGCTGCCATTGTCGGAATACGCCTGCCACATGTGTTTTTTGTTGTATTCGGCATTGACGGAAAGCAATGGGGTGGATACAAAAGAAGACTTGTGTCCAATGAAAAAATCGCAGTGATATATCTTTAAAGTTTAGAAACTATAGCAAAAATTGTTATTATTAACAACAAGCAAATTATTTTGAGTATTTTTATTACATATTATTCAGCATAATTTCCGTATTTTCAATTCCTATCCATGTTCCACTTCCGGGTTTTAGTTCGAACTTTCATTTGTTTACTTTCCGGTCATGATGTTGTGGGCAACTGCGGTTAAGACTGGCTGAATATCATGACAGTCTGATAATCGTTGTCAATGAAAACCTGTTAAAAATGTCGGAATTCAAATGCGTAAGTATGCAATATCTCACATGTAACGTGCTATAGAATTAAACATGACCCCGAATATTTTTCAATAAGCACATACATGTACAAAAGTCGGTCGATTTCGAAATCGTGCCGATACCAGACGTGGTATATAATTCATCTGTAGGTCGATAATTCAGCTTCATATTTTCAACAAACCATCAGTAACATTTTATTTGCTAATAAAACTTTCAAAAACTGTATACTACCACCTGTTTACATTGAAAACATTCAGAAAATAGATTTATTCACTGTGCATATATTCATTGTGTGTATTAATTTATTTAATACACAGTTCCCTCTATTTTTATCAAACATGCAGTTCAGACCTTGACAATCTACACATCTCGGCTTGATATTGTATATGTACCAAGTTAAAAGTACAGCTTTACTATTGGATTTTTTTCTTGGATTTGAAGATAGGACCTTAGTCTCAGTGAGCAAGCCATGAGTGTATGCCGTATTCTAGCAAGTCTAGATGATAGGGTGTATAGTCTTTCACAAAGCAAGTCTAGAAGGTAGGATATAGTCACACAAAGCAAACCTAGAGGGTAGGACATAGTCTCACAAAGCAAGTCTAGAAGGTAGGACCTAGTCTCACAAAACAAGTCTGGAGGGTAAGACATAGTCTCACAAAGCAAGTCAAGAGGGTAGGATGTAGTCTCACAAAACAAGTTTAGAGGGTAGGACATAGTCTCACAAAGCAAACCTAGAGGGTAGGACATAGTCTCACAATACAAGCCTGGAGGGTAGGACCTAGTCTCACAAAACAAGTCTAGAGGGTAGGACCTAGTCTCACAAAACAAGTTTAGAGGGCAGGACATAGTCTCACAAAGCAAGCCTAGAGGGTAGGACATAGTCTCACAATACAAGCCTGGAGGGTAGGACCTAGTCTCACAAAACAAGTCTAGAGGGTAGGACATAGTCTCACAAAGCAAGCATAGAGGGTAGGACATAGCCTCACAAAGCAAGACTAGAAGGTAGGACATAGTATCACAAAGCAAGTCTGGAGGGTAGGACCTAGTCTCACAAAGCAAGCCTAGAGGGTAGGACATAGTCTCACAAAACAAGTCTAGAGGGTAGGACCTAGTCTCACAAAGCAAGTCTAGAGGATAGGACATAGTCTCACAAAGCAAGTCTAGAGGGTAGGACATAGTCTCACAAAGCAAGTCTTAGAAAGAAAACACTACACACCTTGGACCTCTGAACTCATCAGAGCCAACACCGTGACTTCTAGTGTAGGTGTACAGTGTTCCAGATACCCTTCCCGAGAATACCTAGCCCGGTATGCAGGGCGATTGAGGAATAGGGGCAATCAAAGACAGTTATCAATCGCAACAAATTCCAGGTAAGTTTTCGGTTATTTATTGATGTGTCGACCGGTTTCACCCGAACTTATGTGGGTTTCATCAGGACCTGACCCTGAACATCAGGGTCCTGATGAAGCCCACTTAAGTTCGGGCAAAACCGGTCGACACATCAATAAATAACCGAAAACTTACCTGGAAATTGTTGCGATGGATAACTGTCTTCAATTAACAGTCTTACAGATTCCATCAAAGACAGAATTGATGCCTCTTTAACCTCACATCAATGGCTGCTAAGTACTCTCGATTACCTACTGAAGACAGTGTGAGTCTGGATTACAGTTCTCCATTCTCCTATGGTGCCAGAGAAAATTCAACCAGTTACAACTCGTACTACACCTACGGAGGCAACATGGAGAAAAAATACCGTTCACATTACACATACGATGGGCAAAATCATAATGATAGAGATGCCAGGATTCATATTGGTAAGGAATAAAACTGTCCTGTACAATTTAGTCATTATGAAATAAAATACATGTCAAATTAGTATTTTTGAAGTCAGTTTGATCCTGTGGCTGTTTGTCATTGTGTTAATTAACTACTTTATCTCAAACTTGCTCGCAATGTTTTGGTATTATCAGTTATTTATTTGCCATTAACGATATTTACACTGCAAAAAGTGAAAAAAACTCAGAGGCGTTTACATCTGTCCTATCCTACTGGTTGACATCATTCAATTACCACTGTGATTATTGTGAAAACAAATAAATACAATATGTACAGAAGTCTTGAGAAACAGTAACAGGCTTTCGGAATTTAGAACAATAATTTGTGGTTTCATTGAAAAAATGTGTATGTGTTAACTCTGCAAAGATTCTATGTTCTCTCAACAACACATAAATAATCTATACATTGTTTTATTTATTCCAAGAAATATTAGTTTAAACTTGTTGATACATATGTGTATTTTGGTGTATTTTTATTTTTACTTATGGAATACAAATCTAAAACAAGTTGGTAAACACTGTGAAGGGAATGCTGATTGTACTTTATTTTTGGGTTCAATATATATATAGTTATGTATTGTACTTTGAAAAATGTTCAGATGTATGGCCATTTTAGAGGTTAATCAAACAAAGAATATTACAAAATCTATTTTGGAAAACCTCACAAGGATGTCCACTAAATTATCTTTTTCCAACCAGAGTAGTTTATTCAAAACGATAAAAACTAAACATACTATTATCTTAATACTTGTAATATTGTTTTACAGAGAAGCGGTCCCTGTTGTCAAATGTCTGTCATTATTTCATGATTGGCTTGGGATTCCTACTACTGGTCATTACATTTCCTATATCTGGATGGTTCTCTTTCAAGGTCAGTTCATATCAAATTATATTTGAAATCTTATATGACATCAAGGCAGTCAAATCTATTTATGGAACACATTTATGGAATGGTTTAAGGTTTTGACTACTAATCTTGTTCAACTGATTTTAATTCCTATATATCAGCTACCTGATACCACATTTCTTAATGAAACTCATTTGTTTTGATCACGATTCTCACAACTTTATTGACAGAGGATTTCAGAGTTTGAACGACTAGCAGTGTTTAGACTTGGACGTCTTCAGGGAGTGAAAGGCCCAGGTACTGTATACTGTAAACCTTGCTGTATAATCAGGGAAAAAAGGCCCAGGTATAGTATACTGTATATCTAGCTGTATAATCAGGGAGTGGAAGGCCCTGATACTGTATATCTATCTGTATAATCAGAGAGTGGAAGGAACAGATACTGTACACTGTATATCTAGCTGTATAATCAGGGAGTGCAAGGGCCAGATACTGTATACTGTATATCTAGCTGTATAATCAGGGAGTGGAAGGCCCAGATACTGTACACTGTATATCTAGCTGTATAATTAGGAAGTGCAAGGGCCAGATACTGTATACTGTATATCTAGCTGTATAATCAGAGAGTGGAAGGACCAGATACTGTATACTGTATATCTAGCTGTATAATCAGGGAGTGGAAGGCCCAGATACTGTACACTGTATATCTAGCTGTATAATCAGGGAGTGGAAGGCCCAGATACTGTACACTGTATATCTAGCTCTATAATCAGGGAGTGGAAGGCCCAGATACTGTATACTGTAAACCTTGCTGTATAATCAGGGAATAGAAGGCCCAGGTATTGTATACTGTATATCTATCTGTATAATCAGGGAGTGGAAGGCCCTGATACTGTATATCTATCTGTATAATCAGGGAGTGGAAGGCCCTGATACTGTATATCTATCTGTATAATCAGAGAGTGGAAGGACCAGAAACTGTATATCTATCTGTATAATCAGGGAGTGGAAGGCCCAGATACTGTACACTGTATATCTAGCTCTATAGTCAGGGAGTGGAAGGCCCAGATACTGTATACTGTATATCTAGCTGTATAATCAGAGAGTGGAAGGCCCAGATACTGTATACTGTATATCTAGCTCTATAGTCAGGGAGTGGAAGGCCCAGATACTGTACACTGTATATCTAGCTGTATAATCAGGGGGTGGAATCACCAGGTATTATATACTGTGTGCTAGCATTATCAAACCATTGATATCACTTTCACATTTTATAACAACATTCTTTTGCAAATGTACTGGTCCCACACATCACTAACCAAACATTTTATAATGCTTTCTCCTAAGCTTGTCAGAATTTTGAGAAGTTCTAGGAAGTATCTGGACTGTTTTTCAGTCATCTGATGATGGTGGTCTATTCTAATTTCCCCATGTCTTTCTGTCTGTAAACAATTAGAGTTATTGCTATTTTTTGAGAACTATTGGATGGATCTCTCTAAAATTCCACATGTATGTTCCCCTTGGTCCTTGGTTTGGCCCATTCAATTGTGGGACTGATCAGACAAATAAGATTGCCAACAGACGGCCATCTTGGATTTTGGGACTGATCAAAAAAACAAAAATGGCGTACAGGTGACCATCTTGGATTCTGTAGTTGAAGATTATTTTTGCTATTTCTTAAATTTTATAGCGTTGAGAGCTAAAACAGAGGAAAATAATAGAGCATAAGGGAAAAGATCCATTTTTCAAAGATCAAATAAAGATCAAATAATAATGAGCACCAAGATCCCTCTTAAATCTCTCGTTTGGAAGAAAGGACTTTGCTAACAAGATCAGTTCATAGAGCCGCAGGTAGCTAAGAAGTGCTGACCTATCTATGGACACCAGTAATCGCATATTACACTGAAGCACACGCGCTCAACTAACCAATCACATGTTTGTAGGATTTATCCTGGAAAGGACTGTAGTTTCAGAATATCTAGGTCTTATTTTCAGGTATGGTGTTTGTCCTGCCCTTGATAGACCATGTTGTGAAGGTAGACATCCGTCTGAAAGCTTTTAATGTTCCTCCACAACAGGTGATTATCACTTTTTCATGAGCAAAGGGAAATAACTCTGTATTATTGTTATTTGGTTAATAAGTAGTGGCCTCCTTATCATTTAGATGACAAATAAATCTGATTATTGTTTGTGTAGTTGGGTATGTAATTTGACTGACTCACCATTTTGATTGATTTATCTATCCAGTTGGAGCTCCAACACAATGCTTGGTGATGAGTCTAGTTTATGATATAGAACTGTTGGAATTATTCACTTCTATTTTTTGGTACATTTATAATAACATTGGGTCCTATGGGTAACCTTTCACTGGAATATCACTGTCTGGGTCATTATTGGCATCTAACACTGTGGTACTGTTCCTGTAGTTGATAACTGCCGACAGAGCCATCATCGAAGTTGGAGCAGATGTCCAATATCGGATTAAGGATGTGACCAAGTCCATCACTTGTATAGAAAACCCAAATCAGAGTCTGAGGGGGCTTGTCCAGGCCTCACTCACCAATCACCTCTTGTCAAAGGAACTCGCAGTCATTGAAAAACAAAAGACCTGGATTATTTCCAGTATTGAGGTAGGTCTACTGTGAATATGTATCAAACACTTACATAATAACAGCTAATGGATATAATATCATCACTTTTTCTTGTGAAGGATTTTATTGTTACAAGAATGATCACATTAACAATATGACAACATGTAAATAGACTACTGAAAGTCAGGTAACTTAAAGACTATTAATTATATCAATTAAATGTACCTTATACCATCATTATTGTAATCATTGCCTTGGCATTACAGGTTTGAGTCAAAATTATGTTTTTGTCTTTCTGAAGAATTCCAGTCAGTAATGAATTAACCTTTATAGCTTAACAGAAGTGCATAAAATGGCAAAAAATGGAGGGAAAAAAGCATAAAAAAAAAATTAAGAAAGGAAAAGTCTTGAATTTCAGTAATAACACAAAATGAAATCTTTTGTGGAGATCAGTTTCATCAAATGTTCAGTTATTTTATCAAATATCACGGAAAATGTATTGTTTTCCATAGCATTATTACTTGATAAAACTTGTAAAAGTGAGTTTAGGGAGAGTCCATAACATTACATACTTTAGTACATAGTGTACCAATTCTCTGATTCACCTCTAGCAAAGTTTCCTCTAGAACTGGTGATAGTTGAATACCTACAACTCACTTTGGTTTACAGGAGGACAGTAACAGAACAGCAGCTAACTGGGGCTTGGAGATAACTAGGATACAATTGTAAGTACTATTGGTAAGATACAGTTGTTAATACACTGGGGGCAGGACAGTTGCCTGGATACAATTGTAAGTACTCTGGGGGCTGGACAGTTGCTAGGATACAGTTGTAAGTACACTGGGGGCTGGACAGTTGCAAGGATACAGTTGTAAGTACATTGGGGGCTGGACAGTTGCTAGGATATAGTTTTAAGTACACTGGGGGCTGGACAGTTGCTAGGATACAGTTGTAAGTACATTGGGGGCTGGACAGTTGCTAGGATACAGTTGTAAGTACACTGGGGGCTGGACAGTTGCTAGGATACAGTTGTAAGTACATTGGGGGCTGGACAGTTGCTAGGATACAGTTGTAAGTACATTGGGGGCAGGACAGTTGCCAGGATACAGTTTTAAGTACACTGACAAGGGAAATTTCCTTATAATTGGTTTGGTGCACAGTGCATTAGGGAATACAATAATAGACTGATACAATATAATGTAATTCTCTTAAGACAAAACTAGGTATTTACAGGGCATTTAGATATTCAATAGTGACTTAAGGGAAATATTTACAGGGCATTTAGATATTCAATAGAGACTTAAGGGAAATATTTACAGGGCTTCAGGGAAATATTTACAGGACATTTAGATATTCACTAGTTACTTAAGGGAAATATTTACAGGGCATTTAGATATTCAATAGTTACTTAAGGGAAATATTTACAGGGCATTTAGATATTCACTAGTTACTTAAGGGAAATATTTACAGGGCATTTAGATATTCACTAGAGACTTAAGGGAAATATTTACAGGGCATTTAGATATTCAATAGAGACTTAAGGGAAATATTTACAGGGCATTTAGATATTCAATAGGGACTTCAGGGAAATATTTACAGGGCATTTAGATATTCAATAGAGACTTAAGGGAAATATTTACAGGGCATTTAGATATTCAATAGTTACTTAAGGGAAATATTTACAGGGCATTTAGATATTCACTAGTTACTTAAGGGAAATATTTACAGGACATTTAGATATTCAATAGGGACTTCTGGGAAATATTTACAGGACATTTAGATATTCAATAGGGACTTCTGGGAAATATTTACAGGACATTTAGATATTCACAAGGGACTTAAGGGAAATATTTACAGGACATTTAGATATTCACTATTTACTTAAGGGAAATATTTACAGGACATTTAGATATTCACTTGGGATTTAGATAAAATATTTATGGGGCATTGATATATTTACTGGAAATTTAGGGGTATATTTACATGCTATTTAAATATTTAATGGGGATTTAGGGAATTTAGATATTTATTGGGGATTTACATGAGATTTAGGGTAAAATTTACAAGGGATATAGTATAATAGGCATAGAACATCCTCAGAAACTTCCCCCTAATCCAGTTGTTTCTTCAAAATTTCATTTAGATCAACTGCAGAATATAACATTTCCTAGTTTCTTTGATATACAACCAGAATTTTAACATGGGAAGGGACAGTGTCAGATTTTTTATAGAACCTACTCAAATGTTCTTTGTAGTTTTTATCCAATTTAATGATTTTTGCAGACCACCAATCAAGTTACTGAAGCCTCCTGAGGCAGCCCCTAAGAGTGGAGCCCCCAACATAATGATGCCCCCTGGTCTCCCTCAAACATTCCAACAGCTCACCTCAGTGATAATGGAGGCAGCAGCAGGTAAGAGGGGACATTATTGTGTCCTCCTAGTAGGGGGAAATTATCTGTCAATCCAGTCCATAAGCTTACCTGGCATGTTATCATAAGTTCAACATTTTGTAAACTGTAAACTTTCAGTGGGTGTATGAATTTGTTTCCGAGACAAAAAAATAATGTGAGCAATCTAAAATCTAAAACTCTGAATTAAAATTGCTTCCAACAGAAAAACGATGGGCATTGATATGGTGTTAAAACTGTCATTCCCTGTTAGAAAGTAAATATGGTTTTATTGAATGAAGGTTAGTTATCTAATTGAGAATACAGTAAAACACATTTATAAAGAATATATGGGGGACTAAGAAAGTCAGTTTGTTATATACATAGTTTGTTATACAGTTATAACAAATTAAAGGAAAAGCTTTGTATAAATTGTTATCAGAAAATAAAGAAATACATAATTGAACTAATAATAGAATTTTCACCATGTACAGAACAACACACAATATCATGTCCCGTTTTAACACGTTCCAACCAGTCAGTGTTAGATTTGAAGTCATTGTTTCCAAGCCATTTCCAAACTAAGAGCAACTAAAATACTCCATGCTGCTTTACTGATAAAAACTGTTCAGAACTCTAAATACAGAATATCTGAGGTATAGTTAACAACAAATTAGAATTAACTGGACACAGGTATCAATAGTTGTACACATATGTACGACACACACTATAGTGTCGCAGTACTGGCATCACTGAAGCGTGATGACTGCCGAGGGCCACTATGTTATATGGTCACTAATTAGCATTGATATTTACCTAATCAGACCTAGAAGTTGATTTGTTATAAACATTACTTCGGTATGTTAAATTCATTACACTTTGTAAAATCAACAAATGATAGGACACTTGTTTGTGAATTAACATACTGTGTTATAGCCATAAATTCACCATTTTACTGTATTATCATTGTCAAATCAAAAATAGTTAATTTGGCTCTAGTTGACATTTCAGCACCCTAATTCCAGGTGTAGTGTAACTTTTCAGTGTAGCTCCTCTGTAGTGAAATGTTATGTATAATCAAGTGAATCTGCAGAAATAATTAACCTTGAATAAAGTGCTATCCATGATTATAATAAATTTTTAGTCAAAACACAATTCAATATCAGTGAATTATTAATAACAGATCAATTTGGTTGAGTTTTAAGACTGATGAATGTATCCCAGTGACTCTTAATGAGATGTATTCTGTTTACAGCCAATCAGAGCCATGGAGCTGAAAGTGAGGCTGTTGACGTGGAGCCACCAGACGTAGTCACTGTAATATCCGAGGATGGAGCTGTCGGGAGCAATGATATAATGTCAGAGCAACTTGTCACACCCTTGGAACAAGTCCCTACACCCCGTGACATCCTCTTACAGACCAATGATCTCCTCACTGAGGCAATGGTCAAGAGCGTTCGAGCTGTGTACCAGTTCAATATCGGTGGAAAAGATGGTGGAACATTTTATTTGGATCTGAAAAATGGTACAACACTAAAACATGTTTGAAAATTTTGTGTCGTAAAAGAACCAGACATAAACTAAATATTTTAGTTTGGAATTGATAATTGTAATAAATTTATCATAAATTGTTTTATTTAGAAATAAGGTTTATGTATATTTTTATTCCCACGCCATATTAGAGGGCATACAATATTAGCCATATCTGTCACTCCCTGTAGCATCACATCAAGTCCTGTTCTGTTCAGCGTGTGTCATCACTCTAACAATTCCACTTCTTCAGGGATTTTTTTCTAACCTGAGGTAAAGGTCAACAACTCAACTATGACAATATCTCAGATGACTTACTGTTTCAAGGTTCCAAGGTCAAGGCCATTGTTACTATTGATAAGAAGTCAAACATTTATACTTTTATGTACAGGAATAGGGACATCCATGTCTTACAGGCATTACCTAGTTGTTTCCAGTGTATACATGTACCGTTGAACTATGTTATCCATAACCTCACTTTGATAAAAAAAAATGGAGTCCAAGGGTTGTCTTGAGATTGCCACAGTTCTATAATCCGGGGGTTGTCCCAGTTCTAAAGTCCTGAGATTGCCACAGTTCTAGATCAGGGGTTGTCCCAGTTCTAAAGTCCTGAGATTGCCCAAAGTCTAGAATCCGGGGGTGTCCCAGTTCTAAAGTCCTGAGATTGCCCAAAGTCTAGAATCCGGGGGTGTCCCAGTTCTAAAGTCCTGAGATTGCTCAAAGTCTAGAATCCGGGGGTTGTCCCAGTTCTAAAGTCCTGAGATTGCCCAAAGTCTAGAATCCAGGGGTTGTCCCAGTTCTAAAGTCCTGAGATTGCCCAAAGTCTAGAATGCGGGGGTTGTCCCAGTTCTAAAGTCCTGAGATTGCCCAAAGTCTAGAATCCATGGGTTGTCCCACTTCTATAGTCCTGAGATTGCCCCTGGTCTAGAATCCGTAGGTTGTCCCAGTTCTAGAGTCTTGAGATTGCCCCAGTTGTAGAATCCATGACAAGAAAACTAAAAACTTAATTTGTGGGACCAAAACCTTAACAAAAATTCTAAATTGACTTCAAGTTAGAGCATATGATTTGGTAAGATGGAAACATATATGATTAAAAAAATTGGTTTAAACAACATCATCAAGTCGAGTAGAATTCATTCTGGTCATTCACTTTTGTAACCTAACAATTGGAAATCTGTTATGTTAAACAGTTGTCACACTGGAAAATATAGGAGTATATCCTATGTCTGTTGTTATACTAGATTGTTATAAAGAGTTTCATAACACTGATTACTGTCCCAGTTCTAGAGTCATGAGATTGCCTCAGTTGTAGAATCCAGGGGTTGTCCCAGTTCTAGAGACTGGAGGTTGTGCCAGTTTGAGAGTAGGAAGTTGCCCTAATTCTAGAGTAGGAGGTTATCTGCTTTTGTTAGAACTTGTTACTTAACTTTATCACATCAATGTTCCATGGAAATTAAGATTCTTTCTGTAGCACTCTAACCACAGTTGGTATGTTGGACAAGAAAACAAAAGACTTAATTTGTGGGACCAAAACCTTAACAAAAATTGTAAATTGACTTCAAGTTGGAGCATGTGATTTGGTATTTTTACTTGTGCATAAATCCTCGTCAATTCTTGCAGGAAGTGGACATGCTGGAGAGGGAGTGCCCCCTGGTGGTGAACCTGATGTTGTCCTGTCACTCTCTGTCACTGATATGCAGCGAATGTTTATGGACAAACTAAAACCAATGCAGGCCTACATGGGCGGACGTTTGAAGGTGTCAGGAGATCTATCAGCAGCACTTCAGTTGGAGGACATAATAAAAAATGTTGTTAAAAAAATGAAAGGCAGCCAATCTGGGATCCAAATTGTTTAACATAAATATCATCCAACACAACTACATTAGTACCTAATATAACATGTACTTAATGATTACTACACAACTTGTATTGTTCTCAAAACATTTTGCAAAATATAAACAATCCGAAGTCCAAAATGATATTTTGAAACATACATTATGTAAATTTCATATTTTGTCATGTGAAAATAGAAAAAAAAAAACACAGATTTTACCATTAATGGGAACTTTTTATATGCATGCCAAAGTAAGGAAAATGGAGGTATCATGATTCTTCTAAAATGGCAACATATATGATTGAAAAAAAATTGATCTAAACAGCATCATCATGCCAAGTAGAAATCATTCTGGTCATTCACTTTTGTGACTTAACAATTGGAAATCTGTTATGTTAAACAGTTGTCACACTGGAAAATATGGCATTTATCCTATGTCCGTTGTTATACTAGATGTTAGAAAGAGTTTCAAAACATTGATTACTGTTTTTCATTGCTGGGACCGAACAATAGGTGTCAAACGCATATGTGATTTTGTCTTTTCAAGATAACAAAGTGATATTAAGGTTATAGAAATACCTTTCATCTCTCATGCACTTCAGGTTATCACTTTTCTGATCAAACTTCTATGCTGTCAGTGTCACCTGAGAACTACAATCACATTTGTTTCAGATTGTGTAGTGATATATCTGTATACCTAACTAGTGGTGATACAGTGTAGAATTGTTTTGCAGACAATCAGATCTATTTGTACAACTTTACAACAGTAATTAATAATTATCTGCTCAAAGTGTGCTGTGGAATTACTTACTGCTTATTCTAAATTCTTTAAATATATCAGGTATTGTATATGAAAATGGTGGCCATAATTGTGTAATGTATTTTATCACTACAGTTATAATAATTACTGTATTTCATCAGTATATTTAGAATACTTACAAGTAATGTATGTTATCAGTACAGTTATAATACTTTATTCTATCACTACAGTTGAAATACTTACTGTATTTTACCAGTACAGTTAGAATACTGAATGTATTTTACCAATATAGGAAGAATAATTAGTGTGTTTTATCATTACCATTTGTAATACTTGCTGTAAGGACAGGTAGAATAATTCCTGTATTTTATCAGTGAAAACATTTTAAAAACTTTTTTAATTAGCATGCTTGAACTTTGTACAAAATTAATTGGTAGTTTTTTTTATTGTTTTTTTTTTCTGTGCCCCAGCCTATTAACATTTGTCAACCAATATTTACAGAAATCCAGCCCCTGTTATAGAACACTCGTTAATGTTCCTTAAAGGAGTCTATGGTGTCTACGTTATCAGCATTAGGTAAACAATCTCTAGACAGACGTAACATCCTTAAATCATTGGTAGTTGTGTTCATGATATTGTTTATTCTATTGACATTAGATATACATAGATGTGTTTAGATAGTATTTTGTTTATCTATATTTTTTTATTTGATTTGAAATCCTTCAATTGTATGTGTGATACAGAATGCATTATCAGGGTATTCATTTTATATAAACCATTTCTCTGTAAACCTTTATACATGTTTTCAATAATTTATCTTCAATAGAAATCCGCTTTTTCCACACAAGTTTGAATGTTGAAATACACTGGTTTGTTACTACACAAAAAGTCAGTCTTTTATATTGTAACATTGTGTCTTGCACCTTTTGTAAAGGGAGTGCTTCAATTTCATCCATCTGAAATTAATCTATCCGACCTTAGGTCGAGATATCAACATCACACCCTTGGAAAGGGCCTTGTAATTCCCTTCATCGATTAGATCCACATTACAGACTGAACGAGTAGTACAGGTATAAATATTGTGTTAAACACAAGAAGACTATGATAAGTAAAAATAATTTATTCACAAAAATAAAATATTAAAAAAAGAAGAATGAATCTTCCATGTTATCCCTTGTCTTGTTAATTTGGTCATTACTTTCAGTAAGTAGAACATTTATCAATAACGTTAAAAGTTATTTCTCTTAGTACAAAGGGAGGGGCTATAAAGGGTCATTGGGCTTTATTACAATTATTGACTACACTGTGACTAAATGACATGATTATATGTGATGTAATAAAACATACACAGACACTGACGTACTTGCTGACAAATTGTAGGTGTAAAAAGGGGGCGTTTCACAAATATTTTCCTCACATGTTTATATGTACTGCAGAGTTTATGGGCAAAGTGACAGGAAATGCTTGGATTTATATATAAAATTGTTGTTCAAAGGGACAAAATTCTACAGTGTGTGACAAAATTCATCAAAAGACACAAGTGTGGTGATCTATGTGAAATAATTGGGCAGTTACCGTATATTCTGGACAACCTTTGGTATGAAAGTAAAACAAGCAGGCTGTTTCTTACTCAGCTCCTATATATTCATATGTTTATTTGTACATTTTTTCAATAAATACAGAGTTCCTTTACCTTGAAGCCTCTGTGAGATCTAGCTTCATTACAGACATTATACATTAATCCATTGTAGGGAGAGTATGCCATTTAATATGTTCAGTGACCTTTTCAGTTTGTGGGGTTGAACAGTACATCCATTCACAAGGGAATCTGTTGGAATGGACACATTTGTCCATAACAGCATTGGAATTTAGAGTCCAACCATTGCCCAGAATTATCTAGTGTTAGCATCCTGATTTAAAAGGCAGATACTCTGATAACCGATGGTGAGGACGATAGGGAACACCTCACAAATCGTTGATGTCTATTTACTCTCCTTACAGGTAACCACTTAGGTGACATCATATTGCAGTGCAGTGTCCTCTGATCAGTGTTTAGTAGCTCTTGTGTGATGTTGACCCGCAAGCAAAACTAATTCAGAGATACAAAGTATTATGACTAGTATGAAGGGACACTATCTTTTTTAACTCGTCTTCAGCATGTGGATTTTTCTGAAAGAGAAAGTATGGTTGGTGAAATATGAAGACAAAATATAAGTATTGCAGTGTTTGACTTTTGTATCACTGAAGAAACATATAACTTCAGTAAGGAAACTTAAAACTTGACAATTTCGTATTTAAAAGATACTGAACTACTAATATTTTTTCCTGAGAAAACACTACAGAATTGAATTATAGCAATATTACATATACAAACTGCACACCTCTACATCCAATGCATTCACACATGAAGTATAAATGAGGTGAAAACATTTATAGTTTCAGTACTCATTTTATCATGACATCCAGCACTCATCATATTATGTATAATACCTGTCCAGTAAGTGTTGGAGTTCCTTGATAGTATTTGCATTTACAATTTTTGTGAGAGATGATATGCGACTAAACTGCTGATTATGTTTACTGAGAAGATACTCAACAAATGATCATAATTTAAAACAAACGTTACGCTATAGATCACTTTCAAAAAGGACAACACTACACAATACTGGTCATTATTACTGAGGAAATTCTACATTTCTTATTAATTTACTCAGTTTATACTAAAATACAGGTAGCATGCTTTAAGGACAGAATGAAAGATCAGTTCATTGATTAAAGATTTCATTTCTTAACTTTAAAATTAATTTTCTGTAGAAGTTATGGAGAGACAAAACCTGGATCTCATCTTTGATTGGTGTTGAGACCGTACCTGTATCACATCTTTGATTGGTGTTGAGACCGTACCTGTGTTACATCTTTGATTGGTGTTGAGACCGTACCTGTATCACATCTTTGATTGGTGTTGAAACCGTACCTGTGTTACATCTTTGATTGGTGTTGAGACAGTACCTGTGTTACATCTTTGATTGGTGTTGAGACAGTACCTGTATCACATCTTTGATTGGTGTTGAGACAGTACCTGAATTACATCTTTGATTGGTGTTGAGACAGTACCTGTATTACATCTTTGATTGGTGTTGAGAACATACCTGTATTACATCTTTGATTGGTGTTGAGACAGTACCTGAATTACATCTTTGATTGGTGTTGAGACAGTACCTGAATTACATCTTTGATTGGTGTTGAGACAGTACCTGAATTACATCTTTGATTGGTGTTGAGACCGTACCTGTATTACATCTTTGATTGGTGTTGAGACCGTACCTGTATTACATCTTTGATTGGTGTTGAGACCGTACCTGTATTACATCTTTGATTGGTGTTGAGACAGTACCTGTATTACATCTTTGATTGGTGTTGAGACAGTACCTGTATTACATCTTTGATTGGTGTTGAGACAGTACCTGTATTACATCTTTGATTGGTGTTGAGACCGTACCTGTATTACATCTTTGATTGGTGTTGAGACAGTACCTGTATTACATCTTTGATTGGTGTTGAGACAGTACCTGTATTACATCTTTGATTGGTGTTGAGACCGTACCTGTATTACATCTTTGATTGGTGTTGAGACAGTACCTGTATTACATCTTTGATTGGTGTTGAGACCGTACCTGTGTTACATCTTTGATTGGTGTTGAGACAGTACCTGTATTACATCTTTGATTGGTGTTGAGACTGTACCTGTATTACGTCTTTGATTGGTGTTGAGACCGTACCTATATTACATCTTTGATTGGTGTTGAGACAGTACCTGTATCACATCTTTGATTGGTGTTGAGACCGTACCTATATTACATCTTTGATTGGTATTGAGACAGTACCTGTATTACATCTTTGATTGGTGTTGAGACAGTACCTGTATTACATCTTTGATTGGTGTTGAGACAGTACCTGTATTACATCTTTGATTGGTGTTGAGACAGTACCTGTATTACGTCTTTGATTGGTGTTGAGACCGCACCTATATTACATCTTTGATTGGTGTTGAGACAGTACCTGTATTACATCTTTGATTGGTGTTGAGACAGTACCTGTATTACGTCTTTGATTAGTGTTGAGAACATAACTGTATTACATCTTTGATTGGTGTTGAGACAGTACCTGTATCACGTCTTTGATTGGTGTTGAGACAGTACCTGTATTACGTCTTTGATTGGTGTTGAGACAGTACCTGTATTACGTCTTTGATTGGTGTTGAGACAGTACCTGTATTACGTCTTTGATTGGTGTTGAGACAGTACCTGTATCACATCTTTGATTGGTGTTGAGACAGTACCTGTATCACATCTTTGATTGGTGTTGAGACAGTACCTGTATTACGTCTTTGATTGGTGTTGAGACCGTACCTGTATTACATCTTTGATTGGTGTTGAGACCGTACCTGTATTACATCTTTGATTGGTGTTGAGACAGTACCTGTATTACATCTTTGATTGGTGTTGAGACCGTACCTGTATTACATCTTTGATTGGTGTTGAGACCGTACCTGTATTACATCTTTGATTGGTGTTGAGAACATACCTGTATTACATCTTTGATTGGTGTTGAGACCGTACCTGTATTACATCTTTGATTGGTGTTGAGAACGTACCTGTATTACATCTTTGATTGGTGTTGAGTTAAGTAAAGGTAGGAAAGTCTTCATCATGGCAGAGGATAGATAGATAGTATCTGTGTAACAGCAGTAGAGGACAGCTCTGTATCCATGGATCTGACAGCTACTCAACACTGTAAACAACAAAACAGCAGTAGAGGACAGCTCTGTATCCATGGATCTGACAGCTACTCAACACTGTAAACAACAAAACAGCAGTAGAGTACAGCCTGGTAACCATGGATCTGACAGCTACTCAACACTGTAAAAATAACTTATAGATAATAACTCTCAACAGCACGAAACTGCATTCATTGAGTTCCCAAAACCTCCTTTCATAGGGCCTGTGATAACCATGTTGGTTAGGTCAGTTTCTGAGGAAGCTGAGAAAAAGACCTGCTTAAAACTATCTGTACTGGTGTGATGATGTCTTTGGCAAAACACTTCCCTTATTGCTCTCTGTGGCATATAACATTCCTGTTGCTCAGTTTGGAAGCCACCAGCTTCTATTACAAGACCTTTCCTAAAACAAAAAAATACCTTGGCTATTCATGGGATGATAAACCCTCATTTTGTATAACTTCAGGCTTTTTTTTTTCCTTTCTTTTTTGTTAATGAGAAAATCATATGTCATGAAAAAGAAACAAGTCAAGAGCTCCCAAAGTCATACAGAATGTACAATATACTTACACTGGGCTGGTAAACCAGCAATTACATTTGGCTGTTCAACATATGGACAAAGTGGTGTTCCAGCAAACTTGACTGATTTTAAGGCTCGGAGGAAAGGAGGCTGCATGTCCAAAATAGGAATGTCACTTCTATAATCACTGGTGGAACATGAACACAGTATAGAAATGTAAGTCTTACTGAGACATATCCCAGCAAACAACTGAAAAATAAGTATATAAAGATATGTTATATATATTTATAAGTGGAAAATAAGACATGTATAATAAGCAGTACCTGACATGCTTGGTATTGCAGTCTTTAGCTATAAAATAACTAAAAGCATGGATACAAAGATTGTATAACAGCAAACAAGTCTTAAAGCTGACCCTGGTGGATGGCAATGACAGAATGACATGTAGATATTTCAGTTATAAATTCACCCATATATAGGGAAGGGAAAAGATGATATCTAACAGGGTTTTTCATATAATATCAAATTCGTTGAACAAGTGTATTGTTTTTATATGAATCAATCTCCCCAGGAAATTCGGTAAAAAATAAACAAATAAATTCAATGAATCATTTATTGAGACACAGATGGTGCAACAAATAACATCAAGAAAGTGATCCTTACTCATCACCAGGAATGTGATATAAAACCGGTTAATAAGCTATACAATTGTCTATAGTGAGGTTTACATCATACTAAAAAAGGTTCCATCATAAACACCTCAAAGTCTTACCTACATGAGAATAACAACCATCCAGGTATCAACAACTGGTGCTTACCTTGGTTACAAAAGAATATGATTGTTCAGGTGTGATGTCAACATTACATTGACAGACCATGATCAGTGGATTCTGAGTACTCCTGTATAGGTAACAAGTCTTATCTGTCGGTGATGTCTGTTGAAATGTGTTAAAGTCATGCTCCTTCATTCCACCAAAAATTCCACCAATCAACTCAAACTCTTGGTGCAGGATGTAGGCCCTCACAAAACCTGAAACATTTTTTTTGTTTTTGTTTTTTTTTTACATTTGCATTCAATAACAACAAAACATTACCACAAACAACTCACACATCAGACCTATATTACAGCTATCGAAACTTGTCAATAAATGACCATACATATATTCTCTGTCACCGAGTACCCTGTCTATTCAGGAAACAGTTGATTCTTTAAGAACTGATAATGCTTACTTATTAAATCTGTGAAGCTTCTTTGAAAGTTGGTGTATAAGTCTTGACATCAGCAAAATATCGGCAAAATATCATTATTTTTAATTGAGAGTTATATTATTGCTCTTTAGGAGAAGTTTAAAAAATTATGATGCTTAAAGTTATTCACATATTTAATACTTCATATTTAATACTTGTCTCTAGTCATCTGAACTATGATAGTTCTTTAACCCAACACACTACAGAATAAATAGCATGACCCTAAGCCTTTTGGTTATAATAAAAAATATTTAAAGCTTTAACAACCAGATTCCTTTGTCCTACAAAGACACTTGAACTAGAATTCTTCATTATTCAAAGAGAGTTTATTAAATCTTTAAACAGACTTATTTGTCCTGAAAAGTTTTAAATGCTTTTCATTTGAAAAAAAGGTGTCCTTCATGAGGTGCCTTACATGGTGCAAGCTATACATTACATATTTCATTATTTCATTACCAAGGATTTTTTTTTTCAAAGTTCATAACACAATTCACATTTGACCTTTGTGGTCAAGAAAATTGATCAAAGATCATTTGGCTGAACAGGTAATATTGAATGCCATGCCTGACCCTTATTCACAGGCACATCACATTTATTTAAATCTTTTAGATTTCTGACATCACCTGTAGCAGCTGGGCCTATTGCCACAATTAGTGTATCACACGGCAGTTTCCCCTCATCTGCTGTCTTCATATCTGTCTGGGCCTTTTCTGACCATCTCATCCATAAATCACTGAAACAGGAATAAATTTTAAATGTATAAAAGTAATTGTAGTGTTTGTTTCCATATCAGAGATTAATTCTAAGGGAAAATACAAAAAAAAAAAAAAAAAAATGAAACTCTTAACATATAAAATATTGATGGCTCAAAGCAATTAAAATATTTTTTGCTGAAGTCAATTCACACAAACTGAAACATATTAAAGTTTGTAGATGTAGCATTTACTTCTGTATAGCATTAACTTCTAAAAGTTTTAAGTTTCGCCATGAATGTATGTTAACAAAGTCCTTTTATATGCATCTCAACAGTGAAAAGCTGTATTAACATCCCTACAATGCAAAAGGCAGAAATCATTTTGTACTTCCTACATAAAAAACATGTTTTCTGAAATCAAGAGTAAATAAGCTTTCCTTGTTTTTTTTTTTTTTTAATCTTAATGTCTCATACTATATTTCCCAAAACATTCTTAGTCTTTTGATGCGCATGGAGATGAAATTGTCTGTAATTGTTTTCATGCATCATAGGAAGTGGCTACACATGAGTCTTCATTGGTCTAGTAATGTACGATTTATCCTGATGATTTGTAACAGAAAGGAGTGATGAAAAACATCCTACCACTGCTGGAGTTCAAAGTAGTGACCTGTAATCTCAACTTCTACAGATTTATCACTAGATAAATGTGTCTTGAACTTTCGTCCAAGTAAGATTTTTGCATAATGGCAAAGCTCTTCTTGCACTTCACGTCCAGGATGATAGGACCAGGGACATGATCCATTTGAAAAAAATTCTTCTGGAAGTGACATTATAGAGCATAGGTGCCATCATCCTCAATACTCCAAAGATTACGATCACTTTCGCTCTGTGCACCCCTGGAACATTTCATGGCAAAAACTGAAGGCACAAGCAAAGTAATGTCATTGGTTTCAGGAGAAAACCAGTCACAGGCTAACACATTCCTTTTGAAGATTACAAAGGAGTGACATCCAGCTATAAAGCAATTACAATATAATGTTATGTAACCTCAAGATTCATTTAATGTACATCTAAGGATCAAACTAGTCTTTTTATCTTGTCCATAAGGTGTCGCACATGAAATTTTCGATTTTGCCATGACATGTTCCAGGGGCGCAGAGAGTGAACGTGATTACAACCCCTGGAGTACCGAGGATGAGGTGATATGCACTTTACCAGCAGCTAACTTTTATATTATACAAAATTACTATAATGCTTTTTTTGCTTTCCCGAATTTGTTTGACTTAATATATATGATACAACTATACATTAAGATCTTTTTATTCAAATGAAATTGGCATGAATAAAAAATTGTTTATTCCTTGAAGTACTTGTCATATAATGTCAACCAATATCATGACGTTACAACATATATACAAGCACGAAAAACGTCAACGACACAATAATTGCACGATTGACCACTTGCTGTAGCGCGCAAATTTTTATTTATTTCTAACCAGTTAACCAAAATTTATTGGCGTTTTAATTTCTTGATACATTTAACCGAGAATATCGTGACATTGTGGCGTGTACGCTTCGTTATATCCATGCACTGCCTGACTTATATTAGTCTTCTCCTGCAATAAGACATACACTGATTATGATTTGTAACTGGCCAAAAAGGCAACCATTATCCTGGGTTCACGCTTGGCAGTGACGATGCAAAACACGTGTTTTTTTTTTAAATCTTGTGGTTGAATGAACCTTGTTGGTATGTACAAGAATTAATTTGAGAATTGAAATAACGTTGACCGAACATTGAATCTGTCAATGATTACCAGTCTAAAGGTTCCAGATCTTCATCGTCATCGTCATCATCCACTGCTCTTGATGAGACGGGCAATATTTCTCCAAAGAACGTCGCCATGATTAAATTTTGATCTACATCATTAATAAGCTTCACATTGGGAGCCTATGACAAATAGTTCGCTTTCGTCTCAACCACAGACGCGACCCAGACTAGATGTTTTGGTTTCGGTCAAGGTCGCACGACGTAATTCACAAATCCATTAGTGAAGGTATATGACGACAATTATTGAATTTCATTCAAAAGATAACTGCGGAGAATTTAAATGAAGCCATGTTTAGCTCTATGACAAGTTGGCTCGGCGTTGGAAGTGAGAAAAATCCAACAGAAGATTCATCTTCGGAAGAAAACAAGGAAAACGAAAAATCAGGAGACGAAACCCTAGAGGAAAATCAGCCATCCGAAACGAAGTCAACAGAGAAGGACAACCAAGGCGTTGACACAGAGGAAAAAGACTTATCTTTTGATGAAGCGAAGCAAGCTTTGGAAGACGCGTCTTCTAAAGCCATAAATACTGCAAAAGAATGGGGAAGTAAGTGTGTTTGATAATATTTAGTTGTATGAAAAGTTGAACCACAGGTTGCTCTCATGACTATCTCATTCTAATTTTAGAAACATGAAGCAAACTTCAGTAATTACTAATTATAAGAAGTAGTATATATTTGTTTGTTTCCAAGTTCAATTGCTTCAGGTAATTATGTATGTATATACACACGCGGTGTTGTACTACATAGTGTTAATGTGTCTACAGACACTAAGGCCCTACAGAGTAGAACATTACAATGCAGATACAAGTAATTGTGCTATCTTATTCATCAACAAAACTTAAGTATTACCTTCACTGTACTTGATAATTTTTTTACCCTCCTCAAGTTGACTGTTTCTGTCTTTGTTGATTTAAATGGTTGTTAATGTTGTAATATCTCACAGTTGCCAATTGTATGCCTTTGACAAGTTGTCTCTACTGGATATTATCAAGTTTACTGTGATTTATATGTATTATAATGCTTTATTGCAAAATGTAAAGTTTGCTGAAAAAATATCCTGAAACAATTTGTTGAAGTCTTCACTCTAGGCATTAATAAAAAATAAAGTTTTGTGTTCATTAATTAAGACTTTTACAAATACTACAAAGATATTTATTAGGGTATGTATATTTATTGTTGCTATGGCACAATATATGCAAACTTGATCATGTCTTCATGAACATGCATAATCAACAATCAACAGCCTCCATGAAGGTCTGTTAAAAAAAATGCACAATCATATGCATTTACAAAAAATGACACGCTACCAAATCAGTTAACAGCAGCTTCTTCACAAGTCCAGGTCACAGTTGTGAAAATCATCCAATGTCAGAATAGAAGATGTCACTGCTAGTGACAAAGAGGTGCATGCATCGTCTTTTATTTCTGTTTTAATGCATCCTAAGACGTGACTTGGATGATATCTATAGATTACATTTACAGTCATAATTAGAGTGCATACATATCCAGTAAGTTTTAACACTAATTCTAAAGTTATATAGCTTTCTTCATTTTCTTCATTGTGGAAAAGTGTGGTGACTCAAATTAGATGAAACTCATTCAAAACTGATGTAGGAATATCAAGCAGGGATTACAGTATGTAAGCTCTGTAGGTGTGATTGTGATAAGCTAATCAAGAAGGGTAATCAGATTTAAGTAATATGATGGACAAATATACAGATAAGGCATTGATATTGCTGGTAATTAACATTAGTTTGTAGAATTGCTTACCATTATGATTTCCACAGATGTTAAGGTATGCAAAGGTTTACATACAGTGTTATTGTGACAATGGGTTGGAGACTAACCAGAAAAGTGTACTGGCTCATAAAGTTATGGATATCTCAAAGAAAGAGTATACATAAGAGCAAAAATATTCAGACTTGCTACAGATTCAGTTTGAATTGTCTGTCTGTAAATATACTCATTGTTAATCACTATCATCTTATCTTGATAAGTACTGGATGGTAATTCTTAAAATTTTATGAATAGGTTTCCCTTGGTCCCTAGTTGCATGTGTCCTTTGAATTTTTAATTGATCAGAAAAATCATATGGTCATCAGACAGCCATCTTGGGTTTTCAAAGTTGAAGTTTTGTTATCACTCTTGCTTTAGAAGTGCAAGTTGATAAATATGATGTGAAGTGGTAGTACTTTAGAAGTACAGGTTGATGAGTATGCTGTGAAGTGGTAGTACTTTAGAAGTACAGGTTGATGAGTATGCTGTGAAGTGGTAGTACTTTAGAAGTACAGGTTGATGAGTATGCTGTGAAGTGGTAGTACTTTAGAAGTACAGGTTGATGAGTATGCTGTGAAGTGGTAGTACTTTTGAAGTGGTATACTTTAGAAGTACAGGTTGATAAGTATGCTGTGAAGTGGTAGTACTTTAGAAGTACAGGTTGATGAGTATGCTGTGAAGTGGTAGTACTTTTGAAGTGGTATACTTTAGAAGTACAGGTTGATAAGTATGCTGTGAAGTGGTAGTACTTTTGAAGTGGTATACTTTAGAAGTACAGGTTGATAAGTATGCTGTGAAGTGGTAGTACTTTAGAAGTACAGGTTGATGAGTATGCTGTGAAGTGGTAGTACTTTAGAAGTACAGGTTGATAAGTATGCTGTGAAGTGGTAGTACTTTAGAAGTACAGGTTGATGAGTATGCTGTGAAGTGGTAGTACTTTAGAAGTACAGATTGATAAGTATGCTGTGAAGTGGTAGTACTTTAGAAGTATATGTTGATGAGTATGCTGTGAAGTGGTAGTACTTTAGAAGTACAGGTTGATGAGTATGCTGTGAAGTGGTAGTACTTTAGAAGTACAGATTAATAAGTATGCTGTGAAGTGGTAGTACTTTAGAAGTACAGCTTGATGAGTATGCTGTGAAGTGGTAGTACTTTAGAAGTACAGATTGATGAGTATGCAGTGAAGTGGTAGTACTTTTGAAGTGGTAGTACTTTAGAAAGTGGTAGTACTTTAGAAGTACAGATTGATAAGTATGCTGTGAAGTGGTAGTACTTTAGAAGTACAGGTTGATAAGTATGCTGTGAAGTGGTAGTACTTTAGAAGTACAGATTGATAAGTATGCTGTGAAGTGGTAGTACTTTAGAAGTACAGATTGATAAGTATGCTGTGAAGTGGTAGTACTTTAGAAGTACAGATTGATAAGTATGCTGTGAAGTGGTAGTACTTTAGAAGTACAGATTGATAAGTATGCTGTGAAGTGGTAGTACTTTAGAAGTACAGATTGATAAGTATGCTGTGAAGTGGTAGTACTTTAGAAGTACAGGTTGATAAGTATGCTGTGAAGTGGTAGTACACTAACATTATTTTGCAGGTTTCCTGTATAGTTATGGTAAAGCAGCAACAAAAACAGTGGCTGACCACGCCAAACAAATCACAAAGTCTGTAGAAGAAAAGGTAAGTGTCAGAAAATTTTAATTGCGTCGGTTTCTTTAAGATTGTATCAAGTGCAAAGCTCACTGACAAATCAGTAGGATTCGAAATTCATGGAGAGTGTAAAAGAGATAAGTAGAGTAGATATGATTAGTTTGAGACTGTCAAGGTTTAGTAGGTGATTTGGTATTCATGTACAGTGGACCTACAGTATTCTGGATGCCAATATTCCAGAAAACTCACAATTTGGATGGAAATGTTGGAGAACAAATTTCCGTAACACTTCTGGAAGTACATTTTAAGGAAAGGAATGGGCATTTTATTGTTATATTCCTGCAATAGTCCAGACATTTTCTACTACCTCATGAAAAATTAATTGTGTTCAGTTACCTTTGCCAGAGATGTACAGAGTACTGCTAGACAGATCATCGATGAAAAGATGTAATTAATGTTTGATATAAATCATTTAAATACAAAATAAAATTTGATAGATAACGATGAAGCCATCAACCCTTACTTCTTCTGAATATTCAACATAGAAAAGTATGACACAGATGCATATGATAATGAACAGAGAGAGAGAATGAAATACTTTCAGTTCTTTATGAGTCTTTCACATGTTGGGTATGTATTTGTCATGCAGTAGGTCTGAATGTAAACTGATTCAAAAAATAGTTCCAGATAACAACATATTGGGAAATTAGCATATGATTTTTTATCAAAACATATAAATACACTATGTAGTGTATATATTATAAAGAAAGTATGAATTTTTGAGTAAAAACATCACTGCTGATACAAATGTATCTAGTAGACATTCAATACTAAATTGTCTCGGAGTGCAGTATATTGGACTTAAGAGAATATCGACAACTTTCACTTAGGAAATTTTGATACAATGATTTATGAAAATGAAATATAATTTGACAATGGAAGACATTTATAAATACCTGTATTCACACAGTAAATACTATATAGATATTCTTAAAACAATATAAATCCAGTAATATTGGCCAGTTGGCTAAACTCAACAATCTGGAAAACTCTTAATTCAGACAATTTTGGCTGGGAATGAAAATGTCTGAGGGTCCAATGTATGTCATTTGAAATTTAATGGGCTTTTTTTTAAGTTTAGGTATATTGTAACACAAATGCTGTCATAGTTTGTAATAAATTCATTAAACAATGCAGGAGATACTATGGTAAAAAACATGAAGACACATGTAGTGATGTTTGGTGAAAATTCAATGAGTGAAAGTAAAGAAATTAAAAGTCAGTGTAATTACAAATGATACATGTATCAATTATGTATGACCAATAGCTGTGAATTGAAAAAAGTTAGCATTATTCCATGTCAGGAAAGTTGAGATAACACCCTGCTTTCCTGTTACAACTAATGATTATAAAGAACATGTTGCACAGTTTCTTATAAAGTCATAAATAAGTAAGAATAACTATAAACGGCTAAATCTTTAAAATTTATATGAACTTGCTTTTCAGACATTCCTTGGAGAGTTCAATCGTGAACAAGATAAATTTATGACAGAAAAGAAAGAAAAAGTGAAACGCTCTGAAGCTGCTGTGCCACCATGGATAGGCTACAATGAGGAGGAGAGCATGAAGACACAGATACTAGCCCTATCAACAGTAAGTCTAGATACAGGGGCCAGGTATACACAAATCACATAGCTCTGTCTACTATAACTCTACAATGACCAGACACATGGGTGATTTCCTCAGTAAGTAGATACAGGGGCCAGGTATAAACAAATCAGACAGCTGTAGCTCTGTCTACTATAACTCTACAATGACCAGACATGGATGGGTGATTTCCTCAGTAAGCAGATACAGGGGCCAGGTATAAACAAATCACATAGCTATAGCTCTGTCTACTGTAGGTCTACAATGACCAGACACGAATGGGTGATTTCCTCAGTAAGCAGATACAGAGGCCAGGTATAAACAAATCACATAGCTATAGCTCTGTCTACTGTAGGTCTACAATGACCAGACACGAATGGGTGATTTCCTCAGTAAGTCTAGATACAGTAATAGCAGTAATAGCATTACAGGTACAGGTAAATCATAGAGTTGGTCAACACTGTAATTGGTCATACAGATTTACATCATGACAAGGTGTAATTGAAATCAAGCTGTATGTTCTTGATAGGAAATATTGATTAAAGTTTAACATGTAGACCTTCGTATACACATGTATTACACATTCATACAGACAAGTTATCAAGCATTTTTATTCATTGATAAGTAGGAAACCTACTCTGTATTCTATTTCAATTACTGAATATAAACAATAAATTTTTTGACAAAAATGCAAGTATGAACACCTACAACTGGAGCTGATTCTGCTCCTAAGTACTCATAAATACTAACACAATATTGAACGTTATACTATGCAATTTATGCTTCATTTTATAATTTCGTACAAATTTTTAATTTACAATCAGAGATTAAAATTTCATTTCAATTGCCTATAACTTTGAACTAATTTCAGAAAAATAATGTTTCAGTAACATCAAGTCAAAAGATATTGTTACTGAAATATTTCAAAGAAAATTCATATACTTTTACAGGTTAGATAACTAACATTAAATTTGATGTGCTTGGGCATGTCACATTTTACCTCCAATTGAGCCCAAAACCAAGATAAGAATGACACATAAACAGAATGGCCATTGATAATGATGTTTCCTCAACTGAGACCACTAACTTATTCTTAAATCATTTGTTAAAGATTCAAATGTTTAATTATCACTTAAATGTGTACATACATACCTTTTGAATTTGAATACTTTTTTGCACATAAAAATATGAACACCTTGTTTTGTATAAATTAAATGATACTATTTTACTTTGCTTGAAGTACCCTTCCAGTCTATCAAGATTCTGGTATACATTGATCAAAGAAAAAACGTATATAAAAACAGCTTTCTGACTTCTATTTACTTCAAATTGCTAAGTATCAAGTCTAGTCAGGAATAATATTGACAGATGCTGGGTGGGGATAGCTATACAACTCTTTCTTTTGAAATCAGGGTACTTATATGATTTAAATTTGCTAAAGACAATAACCAAGAAATCTGCTAATCATTATATGGTCAGTTTTTGAGAGTGTTTGGACTCTGGAAGAAAGACCAGCATTAATAGAAAAAGATTTTAAAATTCTTAAAAATTTTCACCTGTCCAAACATAGATGAACCAAACATACACAAGACTTAGCTTTTTTCAATAAGTCTACAGAGGTCAGACATACACAAATCATAGCTCTGTCTACAGTAAGTCTACAGAGGTCAGACATACACAAATCAAGGCTCTGTCTACAGTAAGTCTACAGAGGTCAGACATACACAAATCATTGTTCTGTCTACAGTAAGTCAACAGTGGTGAGACATACACAGATCATAGCCCATCTACAGTAAGTCTAGAGAGGTCGGACATACACAAATCATAGCTCTGTCTACAGTAAGTCTACATAGGTCAGATATACACAAATGATAGCTCTGTCTACAGTAAGTCTACAAACGTCAGACATACACAAATCATAGCTCTGTCTACAGTAAGTCTACAGAGGTCAGACATACACAAATCATAGCTCTGTCTACAGTAAGTCTACAAACGTCAGACATACACAAATCATAGCTCTGTCTACAGTAAGTCTACAGAGGTCAGACATACACAAATCATAGCTCTGTCTACAGTAAGTCTACAGAGGTGAGACATACACAAATCATAGCTCTGTCTACAGTAAGTCAACAGTGGTGAGACATACACAGATCATAGCCCGTCTACAGTAAGTCTACAGAGGTCAGACATACACAAATCATAGCTCTGTCTACAGCAAGTCTACAAACGTCAGACATACACAAATCATTGCTATAAGTATTGCTATGTACATACATGGTGTACTATGTTTTGAACCCAAATCGGGTTTCAAATGGCAAAAAAATGAAATAAATTAAAAATCAAAGTTATTTTGTGAAAATCATATTGGTGTTTTCATTAGATTTGTAAGTTGTCAACCTTATAATACAATGTATATGTTTCAGGACAAGAGACACTTTCTACGAAACCCTCCCTCTGGGATCCAGTTTCAATTTCACTTTGAAAGTATGTTCCCTATAGCTACTGCAACTCTCCAAGAGGATCCCAACTTACAGAAAATGAGATTTGAACTTGTACCAAAACAGTGCGTATTGATTTTGTATTCATTGGTTGTTTAACAGATATATAAAATCGGTTTTGTTCAAGAGAAACCCATATTGTTCACAGGCATGGGGAATATGATAAAAATGAAATATCGATTTTAAAGCCATGGTTGATTTTTCTTGTTATCTATAAGTGGAAAAAGAAAGACATCCATTTCGATACATTTGTGTGATTATTGGGTTCAATAGAAAACCCTATTTGATGGAAATATTCAATGTTTTTATTAAAAGCTATCTGATTTCTTGTAACTAATTATCTGTTACAGGATAAATGAAGAGACATTTTGGAGAAATTATTTCTACAGAGTGTCATTGATCAAGCAATCCACACAACTTACTGTTTTGGCTCAAGAAACAGGTAGCTATTCATGAGAATTATCTTCACATAAGCAGTACAATATTCCCCTGTTAACCATCACTGTCTCAGTAATTGTCATAGAATGATGGTAATGTTCTTGGCTTTCTTGCAGTTACTTATGGGGGTGAAGGTCACAATCCTAACATTTTTAGCAGGTGCCATAGTGTGAAGGTCATAGTCTTTCATGCAGTTTTCTTATAGCACCGTCTATGAATGCCTATACTGCTTGTTGCTTCTATAGTGCTAAAACCTAATTAAAACAGTGACCTTTAATCAAACGAACCAAGACTTGAAGTGTGTTGGTGAAATTAGCTGGACATTATCTCTGAATTCCTCTGTAAAAATCCTCTCTTTGTACATATAGATGTGTTGATACATACTCAGTATTAATGTGTCTGCCATGTCATTTCAAAATCAAGAAAAATACTGAAAAATTTATGTTTGGACTGCAATCTATAAAATCTGCCTAGACTTCCTGAAATATCACTTGTTTGGAGCATTAGATGAATGGTAAGGTATTGTTTAAACATTTTATGTACATGTTAGTCACACAATGGAAACAATCCTTTGAAATGTTACAGCTGTTCTGTATTGTTGATTGATTTTCATTTTTTTCATTCTCTGAAATTTTCTCTAGGTTTAAAAGGTATAAAGGCATTGAGACTGCTATTTTATATATTCTTAGCCCATCATCATCAGATCGCAGGCTATTCAAATCGCCCTGTGTCTGTGGTTCGGCGTCTGTTCCTCCCTCTGTAAATTTGTTATTGCTATTTCTTGAAAAGTTTGGGATGCATCTCTCTTAAATTTAATATGTAGTTTACCCTTGGTCTCTAGTTTTGCCAATGAAATTTTTCTGATTAGAAATAAAAAATGGCAAACAGGCAGCCATATTGGATTTCACCTAGTAAAGATTGTTATCCCTGTTTCTTATAAAGTACTGAATGGATCTCTCTTCAATCTTCTTCTTAATGGTGGGCGCCAAGATCCCTCTGGGATGCATAACTAATACAGTTATTGTAATATATTACTGAAATTAAAATCCACTTTTCATGAAATAAATTAACATATAAACTCCTTAGTTTTCCTGATATACTTTGGCTTTCCTCAGGGAAAATTCTGTGTGTTCATAGCTCTGTAATATTTCAGATAGATGGTTAACTTTTCATTAATTCTTTTTCTCTTGAAAGGTAACTAATTTGAGAACCAGCATATATGGGACGCTTTTCTTTGTGCACTGTCGAGTGTTAAAATCTTATTCACTAATATTTACCATGGTCAATTTTAATATGTGTATGAATTTTGGAGTGATGGAGTTAACTTTGTTTGCTACATCTGTTTCCAGGTAGCACAGGTGAGAAATCCAGCAATGGATCAAGACGGTCATCTGTAGGAAGTGTAGATAAAGGTAAGTGGTCACTCCATTTTAGGTTACTTCCTTGATGAAATCTCTTTATGACATTTTTGCCAGTGAAATATAGAAATACCTCATTGATAAAAGTATTATTTTCACTTTTTTTTTTTGTCATTTTTCACTAGTGAAAAAGACTTTTGTAGACTTACACCAATGAAAATTAAAGAGAACACAACACAACCTTCAATTCCATGGTAAACTTTCAGTTCCATTAAATTCAGCTTACAATGAAATGTAAATTATCTTATCAAAGACCAACCCAGTCCCCAACAGAACTTCTTGAATGTGGAGCTAACACGTTAGACCTTTCAAGAGAACTCATGTCTTTTACAGCAATGCAGCTGTAGGCTGCCGCCATATTTTCAGCCGCGTTGTAATCCATCACAGATTAAACTCAGCAGATAACAGCAAATTTTGTCTGTTAGTGACCAGAATAAGTAACATATTTATTTTTGTGTTTACATATTTTAATGATTTCAAAAAACAACAAAAATGACTACTCTATTTTGTTGCCGACTGTGAAGTTATAATGAGTGAGTACTGTCCTTGAAAAGCCTTGTCAGCTTCCTCGTTTTTTTTTTTTTTTATATTATTACTGTTCTAAATATGCCAGTGATCTGTCTTCAGTAATAAATATACTTCGCTCGTGTGTCTAATAATTTTTGTATCATTCACGAGTGTGAAGTGATCATGAAAGATACTAGTACTAAAATATTAGACACACTTGTGATATATATTTGTTATTACTAGAGACAACTGAATATCCTCTAATTCTTGTATTCTCTATACTTACAAGATACACATGTTTATGTACATCAACAATTTATAACCATTTTCCTCACCTTTGATCCCTCCAGTAAAGTGATAGATCCCAATCATCACTTTAAAATTCTTAAGTAGCCTAACACTCAGCAAGCCTTAAGCTTGTGTTTGCAAACTTAAGAATCTCCCCAGTAGGGTTAAGGTCTTTCTATCTCACTCCCTAACAAGGTGAAAGATAATATTAACACTACAGAGGTGTTCCTGGTGAGACCTACACTATGAACTACCTGTATTTCTAAATCAGAGATAGCGAATACATCTAACAAATGTGTTCAATGTATTGGTCTGAATAGCCAACATTCAGAAACAATGTTCAATGTTTTACGTGTATGTCTGACAGCTGAAGAACATGAATTATCAAATCACTTTTAGCGTGTGTCATAACTTTACACAAAACAAAAAATGAAAAACTTCCTTTGAAGCTTTCACACGCTGATTTCATTCTACATGCCAATGCTAAACATGTACCATACTTTGTCCACTTCTTTTTAAATATCAGCTTTCAATTATTTGCTCATTATGTAGAAAATTGATAAAATATTTTAAGGTGTACATCACAAGGAGAAAATTTCCTTTGTGGATGGAAGAGTTACTTCCCTTTGGCTGCAAGTGATGTGATACACTCTTAGAGTATGTAAAACCAGAAAGACATGAAACTACTGTTGGATTTGAAAATTGTTAAGAATAACCCTAGCATAAAGAGCTTTTCAGGTCATTTGAGACAAAGACAGATTGCTTTGTCTGTGGTTGTGTACCATTTCTATGATTTCTGACCTTTCACAAACCTCTGCCCCTAAACTTATTTCAAAATTCCATTAAATTCAATTCTATTGCCAAAACAAACCCAAAATGAAATGAATGGCAGGGTTTTCCATTTTCATGACTCCAAAATTTCTCAATTCTCCATGGGTAGGGGATAAAATTCACCATAAATTTGTATAGGAAAATTACATATTTTAGCTAAATTTGTTTAATTTCCATTGGAAAATATTTCCATCTCGGTCTGAATTGATTTTACATGATGACAGTTTGATTGGATGTACATATTGATCCTGACCTATCCAAAAAGGTTGACTCTGATAGGCCCAAAGGGTCACGTTGACTAAAATTTTGAAAAATCTTCTTCTCAGCGCCCACATGTGATATAATCAAATACTCAGGGTATCGTTTTAGCCATGGAGAAGGGATCAAGTTTACTATAATTTATGTAGGAAGATGACAATTTGAGCATAACTTCTTTTAATTCAAGCATGGTTAGAATCCTTAACAATTTGATTGGCAGTTAATGTAATGCACTGTTTATATCATTTGTACACTGTTATCTTACTTTGGTATCAAGTATCTTGTTCATTTTGTCAGCATTGTAACTCGTGTAATCACTAAGGCCCATTGGGCCTCTTTTTCAGTTGACTGGCCTGCTCTTACTTGTAACCGTGTTATGACTTAATGTTTCTTCGTGCTGGGATTTGCGTATATTATACTTCTGATAAAAACTCTTGATCTGATGTAGAAGTCCCGGATATGGATTTCTTTTTATGTGAAGCGATGATCAGAACATGAAACTGATTCACAAGTACTACTTGTCTTATAGCTAAGTCAAATGAAATAGCTACTGTATAAATTCATCAAATTTAGTTTTACTGAAATGATAGATAATTATTTAACGATTGAAAAAATAATGAGATATTCTTCATATTATCCTGAAATCTTATGTAGTCTTTTCTCAAATCATTAAAACTAATTTCAAAATCATTTTGAAAAGGATTTCTGTTGGTGGAGATAAAAAATTTTGCACACAATGGTATGTACAAACTGATTATTTTGACTTTTTGGCATTTTGTCCTGGAATGTGTTCTTTACATGTGCATTGTCCTGGTTGCTTTCTGACTGGGCAGGTTGGTAATGCTTCTATTGGAATTACTCCTGATTGTAGAAATATATGTAATATATAAGTCGTAATGACCTTATAAAGAATGCTTTAGTACAGATTGTGTAGTGGTTCAGGGTTCGTTTAGCCTGTAGCTTTACAGTAAACTGCTTACCTTACTTTTATAAAGATTTTTAAGTGGATGCTTCCAAACCGTGACAAAGGTATCTAAACCCCTTACTAGTCTCAACAGAGAGTCCTGTAGGTTTTCTCTTGTTGATTTCTCACACCTTCTGTTATCCATATCCTTCCATATCTTTCCATCCTAACTGGTCATTGGAGAAAATCTCAACTCTTTCCCCGTGGTATTGTCAAAGGAGGTAAACTTCTAAATTTTGGATGTTTGTATGGAATTCTTAACAGATATCAGTGTTTCATTAAAAAATTTAATCAGCGACCTATGTTTAGACAATCGGTTGCCTTGTTACTTGGGTACCTTGGCAATAGGCGATCTTGTTACTCAGGTACTTATGTGACAGGCTACTTTTTACGGGAGTTTGGGGGCTGTAGGTGACCTTGTTACTTGGGTACCTTGGCAATAGGCGATCTTGTTACTCAGGTACTTATGTGACAGGCTACTTTTTACGGGAGTTTGGGGGCTGTAGGTGACCTTGTTACTTGGGTACCTTGGCAATAGGCGATCTTGTTACTCAGGTACTTATGTGACAGGCTACTTTTTACGGGAGTTTGGGGGCAGTAGGTGACCTTGTTACTTGGGTACCTTGGCAATAGGCGATCTTGTTACTCAGGTACTTATGTGACAGGCTACTTTTTACGGGAGTTTGGGGGCAGTAGGTGACCTTGTTACTTGGGTACCTTGGCAATAGGCGATCTTGTTACTCAGGTACTTATGTGACAGGCTACTTTTTACGGGAGTTTGGGGGCTGTAGGTGACCTTGTTACTTGGGTACCTTGGCAATAGGCGATCTTGTTACTCAGGTACTTATGTGACAGGCTACTTTTTACAGGAGTTTGGGGGCAGTAGGTGACCTTGTTACTTGGGTACCTTGGCAATAGGCGATCTTGTTACTAGGGTACCTGTAGCATTAGGTGACCTTGTTACTAGGGTACCTTGGCAATAGGCGATCTTGTTACAAGGGTACCTGTAGCATTAGGTAATCTTGTTACTTTGGTAAGCGAGGAATAGATGACTATAGTACATATTGTACTCTGGTACCCACAGTAGCAAATGACATTGTCATTTGGCTGCCCCTAATAGAAGGTGACTTGGGTACCCTCCATGGTAGAAGATGTTTGTCACTTAGATAACCTCATTAATAGGTGACCTTGTAACTCAGGTATCCTCTGGTAGTAAATGACCTTGTTACTAAGGTATCCTCTGGTAGTAAATGACCTTGTAACTCCGGTATCCTCTGGTAGTAAATGACCTTGTTACTCAGGTATCCTCTGGTAGAAAATGACCATGGTACTCAGGTATCCTCTGGTAGTAAATGACCTTGTTACTCAGGTATCCTCTGGTAGTAAATGACCTTGTTACTCAGGTATCCTCTGGTAGTAAATGACCTTGTAACTCAGGTATCCTCTGGTAGTAAATGACCTTGTTACTCAGGTATCCTCTGGTAGTAAATGACCTTGTTACTCAGGTATCCTCTGGTAGTTCTATATTAAATGACCTTGTTACTCAGGTATCCTCTGGTACTAAATGACCTTGTTACTCAGGTATCCTCTGGTAGTATATGGCCTTGTTACTCCGGTATCCTCTGGTAGTTAAAGACCTTCTTACTTGGGTATCCCCTGGTAGTAAAAGACCTTGTTACTTAGATATGGTCTGTAGAAGTTGACCTTGGTTTGTGGTAACATGTGGGCCTGTGATAATAAACAGAGAACCTACTAATAGTCCCGAGTGTGTTAGTCATTGTCATAACTTGAACAACACATGTTGTGCAGGCAGCTGTGACTGACAGGTTTACTAAATCATTTTATAAATTGGAAATCAATCTTATTTAATGGAGGCTAACAAACATGGAGTTATATTGTTAAACTTACAGTTGTTTAATTGATTATGAACTGAATAATACTTAGGTATGAAATCCTGTGTTACAAGCTTTATGAACATGAAAGATATGCAGTATAAATACCTATCATTCCCTTGACCATCCCTCCTTCATCAAATTGTCCTTAACTTTATCTCTGTATGTCACCAGACCATCCCTCCTTCATCAAATTGTCCTTACCTTTACCTCTGTATGTCCCCAGACCATCCCCCTTACAACATGTTGTCCTT